AGATGATGTGATATACAAGGATGATTAATTGATATTATTTAATTATATTGATATTGAAGATAGTGTGATTAAATTAAAATTAAATTAGTTTTTACAATAGATTGAGTATAAATTGAATTTATTTATAAACAAACACACCCTAAAAATCTATGTCTCTTATCTTATCTCATCGAACTAGTGTAATTTTGGCAAGGCAACACAGTCGACCCAATTTTTTATTCAAATTGAGGGCACATGTTTTATAAATTCAAATTATAAATTGTGTTCCCAGTTTTTATTAATATATAGTTAATTACCAATGCAAATATGTTTGTTTGATTATAATTTTGCATAATGTTGTAGCTACCCAAAGGGCGAAACGCCCTTGAAGAAATTACCTCATCTACAAACATACTAGATTATTGAGCAATAGTTAATTGTTTTTATTATGGTAAAAGTAAATTTAATGGGAGTTATAATTATCACGTCTCTCTCTCTTAATTCTTCTTCTTCTTCTTCTTCTTCTTCTTCTTCTTCTTCTCTCTCTCTCTCTCCCCCCCTCTCTCTCTCATCATCATATTCTTCTTCTACAAATCCGTCGTGGTTCTCCTCCCCCACCGCCCCTTCACCGCTCCGCCTCCTCCCACTCACCCATCCCCTCCGATGATCGTATAATCTTCACTGCGTAGCATTCCTCTCATGGTTCAACGACCTATAGTACAGGCGATTCAGATCTAACCTTCCACCACTTTCCCTTCAACGCCGCTCTATCTCAAAGACTTTCGCCTCTGCCCACACGCCCATCCCCGCCGCCGATCACCTAATCTCTGTCGCGTCGTATTTTCTCCCAATGTTCAACGGCCTCCAGCACGGAAGATTCCTCTTCACGAGGTCTTCGATTGCCGCCGCCCCATTCGAGCTGCTACTTCCACTCCTCTCTCTATCACTCAGTACCCTATGCTAGCCATCATTTTCTTCGGGTTCTATCTCGGCGTCGTCAGGAACCCTAATCTCAGCTGCTACGCAAGATTTAATGTGTTGCACGACCTTAATAAAACAATAAATTACTTAGTATCGCTCGTAGCTCACGTAGCTCGATGAAGTTTGTCGCAGGGCAGTCACCTTGGCGGGGGCACATTACGAAGTCGGGTATGCAAGGCTTGGAGGACTTAGCAATAATTGTGCTAGTGCAAAAGCTTGTTGTGACGATGCTAAGTTTCTGCAAGGCTTGGTGAATGAATTTTATCATCTAAAATTAGAAATGACGAGGTGTACGATAATAAATGCTTAAGAGCGAGTGCTTGGAGCAAGTAATGACGATATGTAGGCGTCACATCGAAACAAGATAGGCGTTAATGAGCAATAAGCAAAATCAATTTAGAAAAGATAGAAATAAATGACGATGTATTGAACATGCAAAAGAATACGACAAAACGAGTTCGAGATTACATGCTAGAATAACAAAAGTTTGTTCAACACATCTAATTTTTCAACATAAAGAGAATCACAAGTAATCCTAAGAAGGTAGCGCGACATCCTCCCCCTCCTTGACGACCCTCCCTACCTCTCGCCAAACCTCTACTGCGGCGGCTTCCAGGTCCAGTTCCCACCAAAGATGGAAAGCAGGAAGTGACTTGTCACCATTCCAATCTGCTGGATCGGGAAGGCTCTTGGTTAGCCCGACATTACTCCAAGTGCCCTTGAAGTCTTGGGCCTCGGCCTGTTTTAGGGCACGTGAGACCCCTTCCTGAAAGTACTGGTAACATGCTGGGAAGAAATGGTTGAGGTAGGCGGTGGAGTTGTGGTAGTACCGCAACAATATGGCGCGGTAGTGCTCAATGAAACTCCTACCTGTGAGCGAGGAGAGAAAGAGGGCCACACCTTTTCCAGAAGCCTAAGCAACATGTCATCACTAGATAGTCGTAGCTTTTAGAGCTTGGCATTTTGGCTTCTAACTTGCCCACATGAGACTACTTAAGTTTTTTTTTTCAGCCTTTTCCTGATCGAGGGCTTCCTGGAGAGTAGCAAGTCGAGCGCCTCTCCTGGCAACTTTACCCTTCAACTTTTCCACCTCTGCATAGTCACCCTCTAAGGCCTCATCAAGGATATATAGGAGCTAGGCCGACTGTTTGTAATTTTTTAGCAGAGTACGGAATAAAATCCCAACCTCGGGTTGTATCTCTCGAAGAAGGTTGTTCGGCATCAAATTCAAGCAACGTTTGACTAACACACGAAAAGAAAATAAAAATCCTAAACACTCTACTTGGAATTTGGAATTTAAATTGAATTACAGGTAGCAACTTTAAACTAAGATTCGAAACTTAAAGCAAACAATACCTCAAATTGCATGAAAAGGAGAAAATAGAAAGAAAAATAACATGGTACCCTAAGACCCGAGATGGAAAGAAGACACTCGTAGGTTCGAGAACATGCAATCAAGAAATCGTCACTCGTGAATCAATTAATCGAGCTCTCAATCAATTCTCGCTAATGCAATCAACAACAAAATCACATAATCTCTAACCTATGAAGATGAATGCATATTCTACTCATGAAAGCTCTTACCTTCACCCTAGAATAAATCCAATACGTAAAGACAAGACTTACGAGATCTTGGACCTTCATATAAGTCTCCAATTGGACCTTAAACGAAGTACCCAAGTCTTTAATGCATCCACGAGAAGAAATAGCTGGAAAGTTGTAATCTTGACGGTGAAATAATACAATAAACATAGGGTCTTGGAGCCCTTAGAGAGAGAAAGAAAACTAGAGATGGAAGAGAGAAAAAAATTAAAAAGAAAATTTTATCAAATGAGGAATTGTTTATAATTACAAAGCAGCAAGTCTATTTATAGTTATACCAAAAACACACACATTTAATCATAAAAACTTACAGACAAAGTGGATTTCTCGAACAAAAGCTTGAAATTTTGCCGGCAAAGGCTAGGTCGCGAGTGTAAGGCTTGGGGGCTGGGGAACTTGTGAGAAAGTGCCATTCACGGGCTGCTAAAAGGAGACTTGCGGGCTGGAGCAAGCACTCACGAGCTGGGTAGGATTTCGCGGCTTGCGAGACGATAACTGGCAAGCTGGGATGGCTTTCGCGGCTTGCAGGACGAAAACTCACGAGCTGGGATGGCTTTCGCGGCTTGCGGGCTTCTCGGTTCTCATGCACGACAATGACTCACCATCGACTCGTTGTTCATCGTAAATGTAAGGGGTTTTCTCAGAAAACTCTTCGTAATGAAATTTTTCCTACAAAATAAAGTATAAAAAGAGAAATAAAAATTACAAGACACAACGAAACTAAAACCACAAAAACGAGCAAAATTGACTAAATAGACCAGGAAAAAACTAAAATAAACTAAAGCAAAAACAAATAAAACACATAAAAACATACAAAATAACAACAAAAACATACAAAATACTGGCTAGGGCCTGTTTAAGAAAGAATAAATGATCGTGCGTTAACATAGTATTATTATGTTCTAAAATACGAAGTTATTGGTGATAAGGTCATACCTGGGCGAGGTAGTAGATGGTGTCAACAACTCGCTTTTTCATTGTTGGCCACTTGGTCGTCTCACCCTCGGGTAAGATGGAGATGAGGTAGGAGCTTGTCACCGACAGGTTCTTATTGACAGCAAATTGTTTCGGCTGCTCAAATATCAGCCCAGAATGGGTGTTTTACTTGTCAACCCTAGACGACACAACCTTCTCTTTGTGGACATTCTTCTTGCATTTGGAAAAAAAGGATCTTCGCAGCGGTTTGCGATAGCATGTTTTACTTGTCGCCTAAGGCATCAGCACGTCGGCGGATGTCAGGGCCTACCTAGATGGCACATTGGGGTCGACAACGACGGTGTCGAAGAGCAATTCTGTATACACAAAATACACAAACAAATAAACAACGAAAAGATGAGTACGATTCATAGAGATGACTTTGGAAAAAAACAAAACAATGAAAATAGTTTGCGTTGCGACTACCGTCTATGGCCTCGATGCCTGCCTATGTCGTCTATAGGCTCGACAGTATGACTCGATAGCTTGAAGTGGCATAGAAGCTGGTAGTTAGTGGTTGTCTTCACCACGTGAAGCCGACGAGCATTCCACTGGCGAATGAGGGTGTCATACTCAGCATTCTGCTTCGGGTTTTTGCGTTGACTAGGTAACTCGGGCAGCCACAATGTCTATATATAGCTATACTATAAACACACACTAAAAATATACACATTCAGTAGAAAACACTCGTGTGGTAACTAAACGGCCCGCTGGATGCGGGCGACACTCGTGAGGTTGCTGATTGGGCCGCCGGCACACGAGCGTGCGTTGGAGTGCAGCGCGCGACACTCGCAACGTCGTGGGCCTAGGCGCGAGTCGCTGGCGCATGGATGACGCGACGCGGGGATGCCGGCAGGGCTGCACAGGCACATACCCGGTTATGGCCCAGGACAACTCGTTCTCCGAAGCTTGGCAAAATGGACCTAATCAACACTAAGAGAGATGAGGAAATACATTGAAACACAAAAACGCAAGACGAGAACAAAAATGCATAAAACACGATAAAATGGAACGGTTTACACTAAAAAGAACCTAAAAAGAGTCAAGTAAGGCACAAAACACATGAAAATAAGCACAAAAGTACAATAAACAACCACGACCGCTCCGACCGAATAGAGAACATGGTAACTGGCAGATAATATTTTTGATTTGGTTTTCTTGACTTTTGGTACTAGTTCGTTCACCACCCAAAATGACGGGACTGACATTGATTCTGTTGGAAAGAACGTACTCAACAAAAGAAAGGCAATCAAGATCAAACAACAAAGGAAAGGAATCAATCAAGATCAAATCAGAATCAGGGTTTTATTATGTAATACTTTCCTTAAGCACATGTTTGTAATAGCTTATATATAGGACTGTATTGGAGATTAAAATAATAATTGAGAATAGAATTCCTTCCTTAATGCCTTTCTAATATGGTATCAGAGTAAGGTTTACGGCCCTGAAATTACCTTTGTTCCATGGCCGACGAATCTGGTTCTTCCGCTACCACCGGCGGCGGAACAGAGGAGTTTCACAATTCAGACCTCTCGACTCTGCTTCGCCTTCTCCGGCAACAGCAACCAACACCTGTAACAACAACCAACAAACAGTACCAGTCAGTCAGTATTGCTGTCAAACTCGATGAATTTAATTTTTCTGTTTGGTCACGACTTATGCGTATGGCAATTGGGGGAAGGGGATCCCTCAGTCATATCACAGGAAATCCACCACCACCGTTACCGGAGGACCCGGAGTATACCAACTGGGAACAAGAGGACTTAAAAGTCCAGTCCGATATAATACACAACTTGTCATCAGATCTAGTAGCCCTTTACGTTGAATTTCCAACAGCAAGGGATCTTTGGAACGGGCTAAATGAAACTTACAGTACTGGCAGGGATTACCTGCAACTGTTCGATTTGAAGCGACAAGCCAACAACATCAAACAAGAGGATGGGACCATCGAGACTTACCACGGGATCTTAAGCCGGTTGTGGCGAGAGATTGACCGCCGGGAACCTAACCCCATGACGGCGGCGGCGGATATCGCCACCTTCAACCGCCTACGGCAGGAGGAGCGGCTGTTCCAATTCCTCATGGGACTGAGCGATCGATTTGAATCCGAGAGAAAGGAGATTCTCAGAACGGATCCGCTCCCAACCATCGAAGGAGCGTATGCAATCATTAGGAGGGAAACGGCCAGACAGAAAATCATGGGACTCAGTAAGGACTCCGGCGATGTCACCGGGGTTGGAAGTGGTTTGGTGGTCCAGAACCGGTCAGATCGCGGCAAGGCACCGGCGAAATCATCATTCCGGGGGGATGACAGGGACAAATCGAAGCTGAAGTGCTCTCATTGCGGCGGGACCAAGCACACAAAGGAGGGCTGTTTCAAGCTCATAGGGTATCCGGATTGGTGGCCAGGGGGAAAAATCAGGCAAAGAAATCCGGCGCCGCTACCGCCGCCTTGGGCGACGCGGAGGCCACCAGCAAGGACGGCAGCGGCGAAGGGACAGCACTGATGAGCAGCGGTGGCTTGTCTGGTGAGCAGGGTAAAAGGCCAGTAGGAGAAGGTATAAGGGTGCGGGGGAAGAATTTACCCACAAGCCCTTTAATTTCCAACCCTAGATATTTTTACCCTGGAGTTTTTGATATTGATGCTTCTGATTCTCCTGCTTGTTCTTTTTATAAATCAGTCCCTATTGCTACTGAAAAGTTTAATTTGAATCCTCCTAGTAATTTTGGAACATGTGCAATTATAAAGAATGAGAAGTGTTCTGAATGGATCCTTGATAGTGGAGCAAGTGACACGATGACGTTCGACCCTGGTGATTTTGTGGCCCGATCGGGTCCTCACAGACAGTCAATATGTGATGCTAGTGGTGCTGTTGCTGCAGTTGGAGGAGCGGGGACTATTGAGATCACAAAAAATTTGCACCTTAAGAATTGTCTTTATATCCCGTCGCTGTCCTTCAAATTATTGTCTGTTAGTCATGTGACCAAAGAACTTGACTGTTATGTGCTAATGGCTCCGACTTTTTGTCTCTTACAGGATATCCGGACAGGGACTTTAATTGGATGTGGCATTGAGCGTGATGGACTGTACTATGTGGAAGAAGTTACCCAACCAGGTGTTGCGGCTTTAGCTCATGGTTCCTCTGAGAGGCAGGCTTGGTTATGGCATAGACGGTTGGGACACCCGTCAGTGGGGTATTTACGGAGTTTATTTCCACATGTTTTTCCCAGTAATATTTCATTCTCTTGTGAAACTTGCATTTTAGCAAAGAGTCATAAAAATTCATATCCTATGAGTGAGACACGTTGTGAAACTTTGTTTGGTTTGATACACTCCGATGTTTGGGGGCCTGCACCCAATTCAGTAAACAGTGTGTTTCGTTATTTTGTTCTTTTTATTGATGATTGTACTCGCACTACCTGGGTTTACTTTCTTCAAAAGAAATCTGATGTGTTACAAAAGTTTGTTGAATTTCATGCTTTTGTTAAAACTCAATTTCACACTGATATTAAAATTCTTCGTTCTGATAATGGGGGGGAGTATGTCAATACAGCCTTTGATCTGTTTCTTCGGGAAAAAGGGATTACTCACCAAACCACATGTCCATATACTCCCCAACAAAATGGGGTAGCTGAACGCAAGAATAGACTTATTCTTGAAATGACCTGTGCCATGCTTATTGAATCCCAGTCACCTACTTTCTTGTGGCCTGAAGCTGTGGCTACGTCTGTCTATTTGTTAAATCGCCTTCCTACTAAGGCACTTGCCATGTCCACCCCTCTAGACGCTCTTTCCACTATGTGTACCTTGCCGTCTGTTTTGAGCCTTGAACCTCGTGTTTTTGGTTGCACAGTCTTTATTCATGTTCCTAAAATACATCGGACCAAGTTTTCCCCTTGTTCTGTCAAGTGTGTGTTTGTGGGCTATGGAAAGTCTCAGAAGGGGTATCGGTGCTATGATCCCGCTACTCGTCAGATTCATGTTACTCTTGACTGCCATTTTCTGGAGACTGAGTATTTCTATGCTTCCCAACTCAGTGGTCAGGGGGAGAAGGTGAATGACTCACTGACTTGGTTAATGAGTTCCAGTAGTGGTGGAACGACAAGGAACGCTGCTGAAGAACCCATAGTACAGTCAACGCCTCATTCCCTGTCCGGAGATCCTTCCCCATCACCCCCTGTAAGTCCTCCTATGAGTCCCTCTTATATTTCTACTCAGTCTAGTGATGGTCCTAATCCTTCTCTTGAGGTTTCTCGTGATATTCCGGGGAATACCGTGGACGAAGAGACAGGTGGTGCTGACGAGCATGTTGATGTGCTTCCAGAACGTTATGTTTTGCCACCACGGCACAATAGGGGGGTCCCAGCCAAACGATATGAACCAGAGCATGTACCTAAAACTACAAAGTACCCAGTGGCTAATTATGTCAGGGGGAGTGAGACGACCATGGCTCAAGCATTCAGTCTGGCTATTTGCTCTGTGGAGATCCCGAGAAATGTTGAAGAGGCTCAAGAACAGGAGCTGTGGCAGAAGGCTATGGATCTGGAGATGGAGGCTCTTGTGGAAAATGGTACATGGGAAAAATGCCAGCTTCCGCGTAGAAAGAAAGTGGTGGGCTGCCGCTGGGTCTATACCGTCAAGCATAAGGCGGATGGATCTATAGAAAGATATAAAGCGAGATTGGTAGCCAAGGGTTACACTCAGACTTATGGAGTGGACTACTCAGAGACCTTTTCACCAGTGGCAAGAATTGACACAATTAGGGTTCTGTTCTCCGTTGCAGCAAATCTGGGATGGCCCTTACACCAGTTTAATGTGAAAAACGCGTTCTTGCACGGTAACCTGAAGGAAGAGGTGTATATGGAACCACCACCTGGGTTCTCACAGTCGTTTGCACCAAATGAGGTGTGTCGACTGAAGAAATCACTCTACGGGCTCAAGCAGTCTCCACGAGCATGGTTTGGACGATTCACTCAGGCGATGAAGAAGTATGGGTATAGACAGAGTCACTCTGACCATACTCTGTTTCTCAAAAGGAGGAAGGGATATGTCACATGCTTAATTATCTACGTGGATGACATGATCCTGACTGGTGATGATAAGGAGGAAATGGCACGGGTTCGTCAACAGTTGTTCAGAGAGTTTGAAATGAAGGATCTCGGCCCTCTTAAGTACTTCCTTGGGATAGAGGTCTTGCGCTCTGACAAAGGGATCTTTATTTCTCAACGGAAGTATGTGCTCGACCTACTGGCTGAAACGGGGATGCTCGACTACAAGCCAGCTGAAACCCCTATTGTCGTGAATCATGGCTTGAAAATTGAGAAGGATGCTGAGGTAGTTGACAGGCGGAGATATCAACATCTGGTTGGGAAGTTGATTTATTTGTCACACACTCGACCAGACGTGTCATATGCTGTTAGGGTGGTAAGCCAGTTTATGCACCAACCTCAGAAAGATCACATGGAAGCAGCTCTGCGGATTCTTCGGTACCTCAAATCGTCCCCAGGGAGAGGGGTACTATATCGGA